AAAGGCAGCAAACTGGTTCATTCCTCTCCTCTGCTTACCAGTCCTTCTGTTGAAAACAGTATGACCCCTCTCCTCCCGGTACCCAAATTCCCACCCCTCATTAAAACCCCGTAAAATCTCCCAAGAACTAACAAAAAATTGAACCACTTCTTCGTGCCATCGCTGCATTTTTACAAAAGTTCATACAATAATTCACTTCAGCCGGACATGGTGGCACACGCCCATAATCCCAGCACTCAGGAGGCTGAGGCAGGAGGATCACTGCAACTTCAAGACCAGCCTGGGCTACACAGTGAGTTCCAGAGCAGCCTGAACTACAGAGTGAGACCCTGTCTCAAAAAAACAAACAAACAAACAAACAAAATCACTCAAGTTTTCTAAGTCTAATTTACTAATCTTTGAAATCAACGTTTGTCTTTTTAACTCTTTGTATCTCCCATGCCTAATTCTGAAGACTGGATCATGAACTACAGTACTGGTGTTACACAAACGGGAGAATAAAGTGATAGAAAAACCTATAGTTCTAAATTTTCAAGAGGAAAGTTAAATTCTAAGGAGAAATGGGGACTTAAAAGGAGCTGGAACAATGACACGAGTACCAAAAGTAGCCTGTGAAAGTCTTTCATCATCTTCTGTATCTTCCCTTTTTCTCCTTTTATTTTTTCCAGTCTGATGAAGGAAACATCAGGGCAGGAAAGTTAAACAGCACTTACAATAAATACAGAAAAGAGCAAGGGCTGGGGAATTCAGCTCAGTGGCACCTGGCCTGCCTCCCAAGTGGAAGGTCTTGAGTTTGATCCCTGGTACCAAAACTAAAACCAAAGCCAAAATAAAAACAAAAAAGAAAAAAAAGGAGAATGGGATGGGATTCACAGGGAGAACCAAATGCCTTGATGATTTTCATTTAAATTAGGGAAACAATAAACAAGGGATTATTAAGCACTGTTACGATGATGTGATTATTAATCACATCGATACTTACGTTACATTGTCCTTTATATTACAACATTACGTTGCAATATCCTTTCTATTACCAGGGCTACAAAACATACACTTGAAAAAACAATGTATTTAATTTATAGGTAATAGCCACAGGCAGCTAAACTCCGGTCACTCTGAAATCACTTCAACAGTGCAATTCGCCTACAGAAACCAACACGCTCACACCTCTCTATACGTATAAGCAACGATCTATAAAGTCATGATTACGTAATTGCTCTGGTTCATCTACAGAACGAGTGACCAAAGCCACTACATTCTTTTCACGACTTCTGAAGTCCAGGACAAGCGCGCACACGAACAGTGACAAATCACCGCCCGCATCCAAAGGGGCGCCCCAGCTCGCTGAGTCCACAGCTGGTTTCGAGGACTGCGAAACTGGGGTGAGGACTGCGGCCCCTTGCCAGCCAGGCGTCTCCCCGCCGGGCAGGACCTCGGGTCTCGCTCTCCATCCGGACTCGGAATGAGCTGCACAAACTTCTCGGCCCTTCGGACGGGCACCAGGTGTCCCGCGACCCGGCCGGGGCTAATTACGGACGCGTTAACATCTGACACAAGCCGAGAGCGCTCGGTTTCTTTAACGCCTAGGGTCGGAGGAGAGAGAAAAACAGAGGGAGCGGGGA